TCCTCTTTTTTGATTCGCCTGAATTCGATGCGTCTGTGGTAGCGGAGAACCTGTGGTGCCAATAAATGGTAGTGGAGCTTGTAACAAAAGGTCCTCCCACTTTGCCTGAGCAGGCCTTGGTGGCTTCGTCTTCCAAGGGTCAAACGACAGCCAAGGATCTCGTGCATCTGAGCTACCCGAACCCTTTGATGGCGGCGTCGGATTTGTCTTGCTTTTCTTGGAAGAATCTTGCCTGTCAACATCAGACGTCTCAACTCCAGCGGCGATATAGTGATCTGGAAATCTGTTTTCAATGACGCGCGCCAAAAACCAGTCACGCGTTTCGACTGCAAATTGCAACAATGGCAGGTAGTCAGTGGCACGTTGGGTGTCATTGATTGCAACCGAGGTGGCATCCAAACGGCTGAAAATCCGCCGAAGAATGTCATAGCCACACATGTGCGGTGGACTATTCTGAGGAATGTACGTGACCTGCAACACGGAGTTTTCGAGATGCATGTCTGAGACCAACTGGGCAACAAGTGGCTGAAGTTCTGGCTGAAGCGATGGAGGTGCTGTGATTGAGAAGTCCACATAGCTGTCAAATCTCATGGCCTCCACAAGGACCCAATGGTTGTTGATGGCGACGGGCCATACAATGTGGCGGAGGGCTTCGTACGATGGCACCATTGCATTCAGAAATGGCAGTTCATGCCGAGGCGATGTCCACATTGCCGGTGCACAGAATAAGGAATCAGCACTCAATGCCCGTGGGCCCTCCAGCATATAGTCGAGCTCATCTGAGCCCATCCAACCTCCATAGCGAAGGAAGTGTTGGAGGCGCTGATTGATTCTGTCCAATCGTGGCTGATCAGGATTGAGATCCAACGGAGGTCCAGCAACAATGAAACGGGCTCCCCCCGGGGGCACCGATACTTGCAAGGCATACTGTTGGACAGGTTGACCTTGCGATTCTCTTGTTGCCAGATGTATGAGAAACTGGCGCCTGAGGCGTGTGGCCATAGTGATAACTTCTGCTGTGGCACCTGCAGAGCGCCACTCTTCTTGGGAACTTTGGATTGCCAGGCCGATGGCATAAATGTAGTTCTGCGGAAGAGGTGGCTGTGGCACATGGTCAGCAGGTTGAAGATGAGATCCGTCACGGGAAAACCACCTCATCAACAAATGCCAGCCGCACAGGTGCGGGGCGAAGTACTCAGGCTCAACATGGATGTGAAGCCGATGCGACGAGATGTCCAACATGCGGGCAATGATGAAGACCAATCTGTTTTGCAGGCCGTTTGGAATCTGCACGAGGGTGAGAAACGCTTGATCGCCTTGTCGTCGAATCTCAACAGCCCCCCAATGTGCTTGTACGAGAATGGGCAGGACTGTGGTGGAATTATTGTAAATGGTCGCTTCTCCAAACATGGTCTCGTCCAGCTCATTTTTTCCAATGTCCCACAGCAATGGCGGAGAAAACTTCAAGACTTCTTGTGTCCACGTTAACGTTTGCGTGTAAGCATACATTTCGTCCGTGGCCAGCCATCCATGCGTATTAACCAGGAATTCAATGCGAGCATCAACATTGGAATCAGCTGCAAGGCTTGGAGGTGGAATTGTACTGTGGTGGCCACCTGCCAAGATCAATGGCTTGCAGAGAACGAAATCCCCTGAGTGGATGGTCAAGGCACGGTCCTCATCCCTGGGAACTCTGAGTCCATTGCGCTGGCTGATGGTTGTTGCAGTATGGTCAATGACGATCACACCATCTCTTCCTGGTTGCTGGTTCAGGATTGCTGGCCGGAGCAAAGCATCATCAATGAATTTGGCAATGCACACGACAGCCTCATGTGGCAGATTCTTTGGAAAGACGAAGGAAGTGCATCCGATGGCTTCGACCGTGTTGACTGTGCACTTAGTGTGCAAATCCTGCTCTAAAATCCATGCAGAGAGCTTGGCCTTGTTGCAACTGATGCCAGTGTGCATCCCATTTCTTGGATTGACGAAGAGCAATTGATGGTTCTTGAGAGGTGTATCATCTTGCAGTGTTTCGATGATAGGTTGCACCTCTTGGAACCACGAACTCTGCATGTAATCCTCCAGCCCATGCTGAACAATCTGGCCTTTGCATTCAACCGAGCCATGATCACAACGAGGTGAGTCAAGAATATGGATGACCTCAGTTGGCAGGGTGGAAGTAGATTGATGGAAACTGCATGCTCCAACTCTACTGTAATGCACGAAAAGGTCATACTCGGCCGAACAATTGGCGAGGTGTTCAATTGTGCATGACATGGATGTCTTGGCTTGTGCACTTACGAAAGCAATCTGCTTGATAAGATCAGGTGGACCGGCAAGAAATGTTGGAAAGACTTGCTGACCAATCCAATGGCTTGGAACAAGAAAAGCCAATCTGGCCTGTGCATCGGTGAACGGGCCTTTCACTTGCTGTGTGCATTTCTTTCACTTGAATCCACTCATGGAGTGCAGTGTTGTGGGTGAAATGGACGAAATCTTCCTGCGCAAAAGCTACCGAGTTGTGCGCAGTGAGTCTTTGTGACCACGCCTGACGGACAAGCTTGAGTGGGTCGATGGGACACTGCAGCAATGAGGCCAAACCAACAGACAAAGCTAACAAGCTCTGAGGAACCGAGATGGCGTTGCCCAAGAAATGAAAGGACTCAGGGATTTTGGTGGGAAGAACAAGGTGTTCAACTGTCCCAAAAAGGACCACAAAGAGCCCAGGTGGCAAAAAGCTGAATTGATCTCCCTTCATGGTCAACACAGCAAAAATGCCTTTTTCTTGGACATGAGACAAACTGAGCTCATGCTGTCTTGAGTACGAGGCACATAATGTCGGGAGCGGCTCGGAAGTGTCAGCGAGTCGAGTCCTGAGTCCTGCTCTCTCATCAGTCGATCGTGCTTCATTGAGTTTGGCCTTCTTGGACTTCGGCAAAAGAGTAGCATCATTATAGAAGGCACACTCAGTGGGACACAAAATCAATTGGGAGAGCCACACGTCAGGAATGCGCAGATCATTCCCCTGTTGGGACCACACTGGCTTCGGGAAAACCGATGGTTGCACCTGAAAAGCAAAAGCCGTCGCAGCAACATCAGCCCGTGCCCAAACTGCAAGCCACCTAGTTCGGAGATGATCAGAAATCAAATGGTAGGGGGTGACTTGCATCCAAAGTAGTTTAAATCCCAACACCTGTGCGTACGCTTTGACCAGTGGAAAATGTGGGTGCCGCATAATAGCGTCCGCACACTCCGCAGCCACTAAAATTGGTTGGGCCGCAAAAGCAAAGTGCAGTGCGTCGATGAACGCAAATCCATTTGGATCTGAGAGTCCTGCTTTTTTGCCAGCATGGCTCCATGCTTGACACGGAGGTGACATGGTGAGAATGACGTTTGTCTGCATTCTGATTGCATTCAAAATTGACAAATCCTGCACCAGCCCACATATGCCGATCTGCTGCATTGGATTCCACATCTGAGTTGGCGGCACTGGAGCATACACAATCTTGGCTTGGTGCCTAAGAGCCCAGACCTGAAGAACAGATTCGTCAGCATCAATGCAAATCTCCTGACCGGCTACGAAGCAATCCAGGTTTTTTCCCAACCGTCTGAATGCTTGTCCCCAGCCGGCATACGCTCCTGCAAACAGGTGCACTGCACACCATGGTAAATCGCAGAGAAACTCAGGCCGAAATGTGATTGTCGCATTGGTCAACCACAACTCATCATTGGTGGAGTTCACGGTCTTGGTACATGTGCAGATGACTTGGATTCCAGGTGTCAACCGAATGGATCTGGATGTCAAATCCTCCAAGTGGACTGCTTAACAAATCCCTGTCCTGGCAGGAAGTGCATCACATCCAAACTCAACCAATGTCCTTCACATTCGATCACATCTCCAACACATACGGTCGTTAGGCCAAAGGATGGCAACGGGGTTGGATCCTGCAGGCCAATGAGCAAGCCTCTCATTTTCGATCTCAGTGGATCTTCCAGGATGGAGTCCACCGAGGCCAGCAAATGTGACAAGTCCATGGCACAAGATCGAAGTGATCACTGTTGGACCAAAAACGCGTGTACCGGCCTAGGTGCCTTTGGGGGCACCCTTGTAGACACCCCCCTCTCCGCTCGAGGAGAGCAAAGGGCCCCTGGGAGGCGTATCCCTGAGCCTTTGGGCGCTTGAGCCCGGTGGCTCTATCTATCTATATATATCATATCATATGTCATATCCTCTCTTCTGAAAGGCCAATCGGCAGCTGATCATTTTTCACCAGAAGCTCCTCTCAATTTCTCTCATTTCCTCTCCAACTCTCTTGCCTCCTGCTGCAAGTGTCTTGGAGACATCTCTGCCCAAACTCCTCTCGCCCAGTATGGATTCCTGTATCCCATTGATTCATGTTTGGCTTTACAATATACAATACTCCTTTCAATGATGGCTTACAATGCGCCTGGCAGCCAGCCTTGCAGGGATGCAAAGGTGTCGGAGCGGCTGCAAAGGCCGAACGCGCATGCAAAAGCCAAGCATCGCCATTGCTCACGAGAAGTATTAGCACCTTCTTCTGTAAGCTGTAGTTTACAAAGACACTGTCTAATAAACTAATATGGCTGAATCCGTCAACATCCAGCACCAACTACGGCTTAATTCCAAAACATAGCTACTCTAGACCACTCCGGAACAATCCAAGAAGTGCAGCACTTGAAGTTGGTACATTCAGCGAAGGTAAGTCAATAACAACTTTCACGAGCATGTCACAGGTTGAACCAAACGAGGGATGAACTTCCACCATTGTGTTTTGCCGCTCCATTTTCTAGTCTGATTTGGCTGGCAACGACCAAAGCCAATTTTGCAAGATTCGTTGTCAGCCAAAACCATTTGGTCGGCCTACTGCGTGGCCTAGATATGCCTGCTCGCGCGATCTGGTTATCTGCCTCCAACAGCGTACTTGTTCCAATTGAATTCGTGTGATAAAACAGAATGAACACCTGCGTAGAATCCACTGCTAGCTCCTCGCTAGCGGCCCTGCCAGCAGCTGATCAAAAGCGTCAGATGCTTTTTGTTCATAAGCTTTCAACCTTGCGTTCCGTTGCTGTTGAGGGTCTGCATACGCACCATCTGAGCCCAAAGAATTTCCACTGCAACTGCCACATCCTGCCTGAAAGCTGGCATTGCAGCTTCCGCCACACCCTCCGCCACAACCAGAGGAACAAGCATTGCACCCGCTGCATGCATTGAACCCTTTGCAACCTCCGCATGATTCACCGCTACCACCGATGCAACCACTGCGCGAACCAAAGCAGGCACTCTCAGAGCCAGGACAGCCGCAATTTCCACAGCCATTCCCGTGGAAGCAACCGCCCCCGCAACAAGTGCAACTGTTCGGGCATCCACAACCCCTGTAGCCGGTGCCACAGCTCCCCCCACCAACCCCGGGGCAGCCACAACCCCCACAACTGCTGCAACCGGGGCAACCGCAGTTTTGACAACCTCCACTGCTGCAGCTGCCTCCACAACCACCGGAACAACAGCTTCCGCAGCCAGAACAGCTGTTCAGGCATCCGCAGCCCCCGCAGCAAGTGCCGCAGCCCCCACCACCACTTCCAGGGCAGCCACAACACCCACAACCACCGCAGCTATTGCCGAGGCAACCACCGCAACCACTGCCAAGGCAGCCACAACCTCCGCAGCCTCCACAGCAATTGCTGGAGCAGCAACCACCCCCGCAACCAGGGCAGCCAGAACCGGCGCATCCCGCAAAGTTGCTGGCGCAAGCTCCGCAACAAGGAGTGTTGTGGTTTCCAAAGGTTCCACAGCCATTGCAACTTCCACAGCTGCCACTGCTGGGAAAACTGTCTGTGCCAACATAGTTGTTTGCAATTGGCTGAAAAGAAGCACCTCAGTTTAGCATCTTGTCGAGTGCCAACCACAGTTCGTGCGAAAGCAACAAAAACATTGCGCTAGCAGGGACATCGATATCCCCTCCAAGCTACCTGTGCCGGCAATGTCTGGTCCAGGCCTTAACACTAGTAGCTTCCAGCTAGTAGTAGCAAGGTGCCTTACTACTAGTGAAACAAATAGCTACTATAGTAGCAAGGTGCATCGCTACTAGTAGCAAGGACGCTACTAGTGCTTGTGAGAGTATCACGAAGCTTTACTTGGGTCGCTTATGCCAGACTCCAAGTTGGACAACGCCCCGTGAAGGTCCCACACAAACTATTCCCAAACACCAAGCAACACCTGCATTTCATACGCTCATACTCCAGAGGATTTGCATGATCAACTTGTTGAGCAGCTGACTCTGAATCAGGAGGCCAATCAGACATTCCCTGGGCGCCGCAGGCTTCCAAACAACACAGCAACGTGCTACCTCAATTTTGGCAGGCCAAGGCATGGTGAACATGCAAGGACACTGGTTTCTACCTTGCGCTCTTCAAAGTGCATTTGAGCGTTGCTCAAAACCTAGTTGAAAACGTGTTGAAAGTGGGTTCTCCTTTCTCAATTTCCTTTGTGCAACAATTTTGCGGTTCGCGTTTTGGTTTTCGCACGTAACATTCTGTGGAAAACCACTTCCACAAACCTTCGTGGACAAAACAGTTTTAATGTTCGCAACTTATCACGCATTAACAACTTGCAACATTTTTTGCGACTCCGTGTTTCCTTTCGCAGAGGTTTCTTACATTAACCTTGCTTCAGATTGAGGGCTCACTGTTCATGTGCTCCTACAACCAGCCACCCACTGTGAAAACTAAAGCGCCAAGAGCCAACTGGATTCCCGTGTGTATGTGTGGAACCCTTAAGTTGGCTGTGTTTGGCTCGTGCTCAGCACGAACCATCCAAACATAAACTGCCGAGTATCTGCATCTATATCCACTAAGTTTAACGATCTCAAAACTGGTGCTGCTACAGGGAGGGGACGAAAACCAGTTCCCGTATCAATAAAGCATTATTGTTATGGGGTGAAATTGACATTGCACTGACCTCTACTGCTGTTAGGCATGGTGAAATAGAAGGCAATAAGGCAGAGAGGCGCAAAGTCTCGCGTTAAGGGTCGATATGATAGGCGCTGTATATACAAGGCCTTGATCAAGGCCCATTTACTGCCACGCGTTGCGACAAAGGTTGAACTGAGCAGGACATGTGCAGTTTGGGGGGGGAACCCTTTCTCCTGCTTCAAGGGCGCTTTCACGCCGAAAAAGGGCACCCCTAAGTAAGTGAGGGGTGCTTGCCTGGATTCTGTTTGCCTCTCCTGTCTTGTACCTGGACAAAGATGAAGCCTGGAAATGTCCTGCTGAGTTGTGAAAAGCTGTTTCTATGAGTGTTTGGAGCTTAGAGGTCTTTTTGCGGTACAGAGTCTCGCCGCTTCCCCCGGTGGAACAGAAAGTTAGTGCTCATAACGTTTAGTGCCAAGATCACGTGGTTGTATAACATCCAGCAAAGATACCAAACTATCAACTGTCCTGGCGCGATGCTTCTTTGCCTCTCAAGTAAGAAGCTTTGCACAAGTCCGACTCCATTGGACATCTATAGCTCTGAGGAGTGCCCTTTCTCATCCGGTGAACAACCTTTTGGCAATAAAAAGGCACCCCCAAGCAACTCAGAGGTTCTTGCCTGTTAGCCTGGTCAGCTCCCCCCCGTGTGGGGGGGCATCTTTTCTGGCACGCAGTCTGTCTACCCAAACTCCCACCCCTAGTCAATAGACAGTCTAAGTATGTCTGAGTAGTATCCTAAGCACTTCGTGATGCCAATGCACTATTCAGCGTCATTTGCATCACTCACATCGCCAAGACTACCTGAAACATACATTTTCACTACCTTTTCGACACTCGTTCTTTTCGCGCTCCCCCACCAGGATCTGGGTTCACCCTGCCCGCCAGGACCAAGTTTGCAACCGCCCCCCCAAATCCTCTATACTCTCTTCGTTCGCCCATCGACAACTCCAGCCTAGCCTATCGGCTGGCTTTCGTAATACATAAACAATATTTTGGTTTGTTCAAGCACTGGTTCTGAGCACTAACCCAGCACTCAGTCAAACAGCAGGTTACTTCATCTTCTTCACAGGCAAGAAAATTGGGAATGAACAACGCTGACCCTGCCTCCGCTGTTGTACCTTCCATGATTCTCGTTTCTGAGCATGAACGGCTCTCGTGACCATAAGCTGATTATGCTTCATTCATGGCACCCACCTTTCTGGCCCAGATCCATCTGGAGAAGGTCCTGCGCAAAAAGGAAGATGAATCAATCTGGGCGGGAAAGAGGCAATATATATAACTCACTGCCACAGCACGCCCGCTCCATCGCACCAGATTTTGCGCTAGCCTGTGCCTCACGGTGCTTGCTGTGGGAAAGCAGATTCTGTATGTCTGAAAAAGTGTTCAATTGGAATTTCGTTTCCGAGGCCATGTTTTCACAGCTTTGACGCCCTCATGAGCCGCTCCCCTGCTGAAAATTCTTCCCAACAGGAGAACGCAGCCCGGAATCTCACCGTGGAACTTTGGAACCTTGGGTGCTGTGATCGCACCCACCTTGGAGCCGTGGATGCTGTCAGGTGCTGTGATGAGGCTTCCACCTTGGAACCCTTGGAGCTGGGACTGCTGTGACACTTCGACAATGCAACCCGGGGTGCTGTTACTGTTACAGTAGGTGCTGTGACTGGACTTCCACCTTGGAAATCTGGGCGCTGCGATCGGATGACAAAAGTGGCCGCGAACGGGAAGGAGGGGTCAAGACAGGTTTGCCATCAATCTGCTTGCAAGAAACAGTGTCGGGCAGCCGCGCTTTGTCAATTTATCCAGTCCCTGCAGCCAAAAGCTTGGGCGATTAATGCTCTTCCGGCTTCCGGGAAAACGGGCTGATTGTCTATTCCACCAAGCCGTTGCAAAGCAGCGCGTCGGCGATGTGGGGCCTGCGAATAAGTCAGTTGCATAGCGCAAACAACTGTTCTGTGCAGAGCAAGTCAGGCAAACATGTTTTTTTTGTGCGCAACCGGGCCGGCGAACACTCAGTAACACGTCTTTATTGTGGCAATAGTTGTTGTACTTGCGCAGCTGTCTCCGTTCCAACATTCTTTCCACGCACCGTAAGCATGTTCTATGCACAGCAAGGGGCACGCACTTAGCAGGACGTTTAGGTTTTTGCACTTGCCTCTCTCCATTGCGGTGCGCTCATTCTGCACAGCAATTTAGGCAAAACAAAATAACAAATGCCACGGGCACTGGCAACATTCTTTACAGTTCTGATGCGCTTTCTGTCTTCCAGCTTCTACTCCCCAGCTCTCTTTGCATTTGGCAAATGGATTTGGATTGCCTGTCGGAGGTTTGGCAAGCCCAAAGACACATCATGAATCATTGGATAGCCCCGGTTGATTGGCTTGCTGCCTGCTGTTGGTTGCAAACCTGGGTAAATCAATTGTGGGGCAGGCGTCCGACTAGATAAAAGACCCACATGCTCATTGCAGGGGGCGTGTCCCGACACAAACCAAAACCGGCACCTCCAACGCAACTTGCTCCTTGCATTCCTGCCCTTTCCAGAACAGGCGCTCAGGAAAGCAACCCAACGTCGCGGTTTTACCGCCTGAACCCTTTTTGTGAGTCCTGAGAGGTGAAACACGCAAGGCCACAGCGTTTGGTTCAAACGCTCTGCAAAAAATACGCGAACTCAATTTGTCAATCTCTTTACGTCTGCTTGCCTGTATGTCAATGTTTGCAGTTGGACTTAGACTTGCAGAAACACTTGGAGCAACATTAGACAGCACAGTAGGCTTGCTGCTGCGCAAGAACCAATGCGACAGGTGACGAGACCACAGTAGACATTAGACCACTCAAAACTCATCAGCAACCCTAATTATTGCGCTGCTCAAACATGGGAAACAAATATGCAAGTTGGCTTGCGCAAAACCAGTGTTGTGGGTGGTGCGCAAACTGATTGGATTTGCCGCAGCTGTCAAACTACTATGAAAAATGCCTCCTCACCTCGGGTGTTGATTCGCGCGTACCCTGTTGCAAAGATCCTGCCTTTAAAACAGGTGATGTGTAGCGTCGTGACATGACGCATCACACGTGGCATCATGGTTGAACTACTTGTCGCCACAGTATGATGTTGGTGAGAGATAGTGCGACGAGTTTCCGTCCGTAACGTCACAGGGGCGGCATCTTAAAACCTATCGTCGATGGTGAAACGCTGATTGCACCCCATGTAGAGCCAAGTATCTCATCTATTGCCTGGGGCACTTGCAGCACGACTTGCCTACAGTAATCAATGCTGTTCTGCCGTTTCTGATGCATCATCTGCTTGCGTCGTGGCCGTGTGACCCTGACATGTTTTATGAAACTGGTGTGACTGGGCGGACACGCGCACTTTTCTAGCCTAGACTCAAGGGCCCTGGTAAGCCGAAATGTCGCGAAACAAACTGTACGAAAACAGGAGGGATCAAGCGTCGCATCTTGCAACCTGGTCTTTACATGGATAAGTGAGGGTGGATTCACACTGATCCTTTCTTCAGGTGCGAGATCAAATGAAATTCAACAATTCCTGGCTACGACTGCTTGGTCATCTTCTCAAACTGCACTTTGTATTTGTTCTCTCGAAGAATCTTGAGAAGCAAATCGGGTTTCATAACCTTGGTAAGACAGTCTGCAGCCATACTCGAAGTATGAATCCAGGACACTCGATCTCCTCCCTCGAGGTAGTCGACATAGGTCGGCCTTTCGTCGGCTGTTCGCAAACACTGACGAATAGCTCTCAGTTCAATCTCGAGTCTTTTGTCCTGCACCTTCGATGGGATCTCGACATTCAAATGCGAAGTCAAGGAATTGCAATCACTCAGCTGCATGCAGTGCTTGCGGCAGATGTCCTCCCATCCACGGAGGTTTGGAGGCAGGGGTCCTTTCATCTCCACGACGACGGACCTGCTTCCATGCTGCCTTGCATTGAGTAAGCCTCTGCCTGGAGAGTGGCCCTACAGACCCTGTTCACTGTGGTTGAGCTGAATGATATGGGATACACGTCAGAATGATCGTGACCCTCTTTCTTCAACTGCTCTGCTGGCACAAGGAAATGACAATGTCCTTGCTGTGACTTCCTTCCGCTTCGTTGGCGAAGGATGCGTCCAACACTGACAAAATGCCAATGCTGTGGCTTCTTTCAACCAATGTACCGAGGAGTCCTTGGTGTTTGCCTGGAGCCTCGAAACTCGGTAGACAAGATCTGGTCTGCCCTGGCGAGCGATCCATGAAAGAGAACCGACAACGGATCTCAACTGCGTCGTTTCATGAGCGAGAAGCGGATCTGCATTTGGCCTTCCTGACTCAACACGGATAGGCTTGATGCGGCGTGTGTTGTCTACCACATCAACTGTAATCCCTTCTTCGGTTGTCTTGAACTGTTTTCCGCAGTATCGAACATCACGGGACTCTGAACTTCCAATGTCAAACTTGTCCAAAAGTTCCTTCACCTTGCCTTCACCTTCGGCAAATATGCATACAACAGGTCATCAACGTGTGTTGTCATCACTGCAACGACTCGTGAACGCACTGGCACGGTCTTGCTCATGTGAATGGCTCAGGCTCATCTTCATTGGCCTTTTCTGGCGCACGCAAAAAGTAAAAAGCTGGAAAAATTTTGCTCACACTTAAACCTACATCACGTGCTTCACGGTCCAAACGTTTCCAGAAACCTCGTCCTGAATCTGCCAAACCATATGTTGGAACACGAACCATCAAAACAGCATCTTTGTCAATCCCTGGGATTCCTGGACGTGGTTGTCTCATCAAAACCTCGCGATCAAGGGGGTTCCCTTGGAAATATGCTGAGGTGATGTCACATGCATATAGTGGAACACTGTGGGAAGCTGCCCATGCAACAACAAGGTTGTGAGTCTGCAGGTCGCTCGTTGGAGCGTCCGTGCGCAAGCCATCTTGGTCTTCAAAATTTCCACAAGCAACCAACCTTGCCTTGATCTTGGGCGTGTATTCCTTCTTGCCTTTTAGGTACTCGTGTTTGTCAACCAGTACCCACTTTGAGGGGATTATGGTGTGGCCCTGCCTCAGGAGCTTCTCAAGGTCAGGTCCAGAAATCAACACTGCTGCGGAATAGCGCTCGAACTTACCCCACTCACCCCTCATTGCTTCAAGGATCAGGGCTTTCATCTTGGGCGATGCACTGTTGAAATCAAGCAACTTCCCCGCAACTTGAGCCTGGTTGTCACGCTCAACAATCAAATCCTCAGGTCGACCGTCACCAAACCTGGCACACATGAAAGTAACAAACTTACCTCTCTTGCCCATAGGTTTGATGAGATACTTCTTTTTTGTGGTTCTTCAGAAAACGCGACCAAACCTGAGTTCTCACCTTCTGCCTGTTCCGGCGTTGTTCCGTCTCTCCGGGCTCGTTCGAAATGCTGACGAATTGGCAACGGAAGGTCGTCCAGGGAATCCTGGATCATGGGCCATGCAGTGGTCCCACACTACCAGACGATTCAGGAATGATGGGAGCGCTCGAAGGCGTCTCCAGTTCGACGATTCTTGCGGGCGCTGTCTCAGAGTTGACACCTGAGACTGGCAATTGCGTCGATTCGGTCCGCTGGCGGACATTTCGACTGTTCGACGGGAAAACTGATTGTCGGCGAGTCGGAATGGCTCGGCTACGACCTGCTCTTCTACGACTGGACTCTCTTCCTCCTCCGATTCGACTTCCACGTCCTCCGAGATCGTGGGGGCTGGCATTCCTGGCGCGATGGACGGTTCATACGATACATCTTCTGGGATTTCAGGTTCTTCCAAATAAGATCTTGCATCTAAAAACTTCTGATCATCTCCAATGACTTCTGATGGAACTATGGGATGACCTTCTAACACAGACTTTGCAAGTGCTTCAGCCTCACTGGCTGGCCGGAGATTGTGAACAGAAACAAGAACTGGGACATTTTCACAAAGTACCCAAACATCTCTATCTCGCTCATGGCCAATCACTCGTGAAACTACACTCCGCTGGGTCTTTCCGCCTGTGTTGTTGTCCTTACGGAAGGAAACCAAATCTCCTACAGAATAGGTCATGGTAATGGGCCTTGCATTTCTCAACATGGCACGTTGGATCCTCTTCGAAGTATCCAAATGAACAAAGGCCTTCTTGGCTTCTACGCTGGCCATGTTTTGCAACGCCAAAATTGACGTTGGATCTGTCTGTCCTGCAAGTCCTTCAAGGTCAGTCCAACCTTCATTCATCAAACTGGCGGCTGCACGTGGGTCTGAACCAAAAATCCATTGGGTAGGACTGAGTCCTCCTACTCGTGTGGATGTGTTCTTCACCTGGCAACATTCATTGAGGAT